AAGTAGCAAGACTAACATATCATTCCTTATATTATAGAAACTTCGATATATAGACCAAGTACTACGTATATGCTACTGAGAATATGCTAGAAAGTTTGAGCAAAAACATAATAAGTTCGGGTATTATTTTATAGCGATCGATCGATTCATCCAAGACACGCATAGCATTAGCAGTGCATGTAACTTAATGGGATCGTGACCCAGACTAAGATTTGCTTATATTGGATTTATACATAATATTGCTCCCCTGAGGCCCATAGGGGTGACTTAGAGAGTCATGGGCTTTGCCCTATAACATGATGAGATTTGTATCAGAGATACTAGCTCTATTATGTGAAGCATGGGCAAGGCCCTATAAAGCTCGATATTTAACTTTACCTTTTACTTTATGCTTTAGAATGGGGTGTTTCATATATATAACTTCTATTCCTGAACTAGATGTGGAATCGACATTCGAAGTACTCGAATCGGAAGTTGTAGAGATATTTAATCTGCGATACAATGAATCTTTTGATTTCCCAGGAAGTATTTTGTAAAAATCATGAATATCTCTTTTATTAACCAATATTATAGCCCTTGGCTTTTTTCGGTTTTTGATACTCCAGATCCATTGAGATCTTTAATACGCAGAGTTGTTCTTACAAAAGCATCCTCTGTATCGATTACAATTTCAGGTATGTATGTTTGAAGTTCATCGTTATTATACTTTCTACCATAAAACCAATTATTACCCAGTAAAATATAGTTAGGTGTTTTAGGGTTAGATTTTTCTATGAGTACTTCAGTTGGAATCGTGATAGATTTTTTATTACTAAGATGGGCATTATTTTTTATGTTAGAGATAAATGTAGGTGGGATTATGGTTAATCCAAGTGGAGCTGTGGTTTCTTCTCTGACGAATTTACTATCTTTTTCTTTGGGAGTCAACTTTCTGCTAATTATGCCACCGATTTTCTTGAGAAGTTTATTACTATACATAGAGATCCCCAAAAATCCTGGTTCAGGTGACAATTAACTTTTTGCATTCCTACTTTAGCTTTGACTATCTTCATTTTCATAATAACAATTTATATTATGTATTATATATCTTTAGCTGAAAAAAGTTAACAATTAATTATCTGTCCTAAACTCCTTGCTATGAAATCTCCTGGAAGATACTATTAAATAAATTATTCTGTTCTAAGTTAGTCGTTCCTGATGATATTCTGATATAATTACTGAATGCAGAAATAAAATCACTTTCATCAATTATACCGGTAAAGATTAGATTAGGTGAAGGCAGATATGAGCTCATAGGATTCTCTTCTAGATTCTGTTTATTAGATGTGTTTTCACCCCCACTCTGTG